GGGCTGTTTTGGTTTCAGTTTTGGGAGGGAGGAGGGGAGGATGAGTTTCTTCCCAGCTCCTGTCTGCCTTCTCTTCTGTGGGTGCAGCACTGTGTTCCTGGAGGTGTCTAGCGCACCTTGAGGAACAGACTTCGATGCCTGAACATTGCACGGGTCAGTAACCACAGCCGCGGGGCTGCAGTGGAGATGGCCACGGCCTGTTTGCATCTCCTGTTCCTCTGCACTCCCACCCATGAACCCTGTGGAGGAGGACGAGGGTGGTGGTCCCTGGTCACCATCAGGTGCCTCTTGACGCTCAACTCTGTGTCCTGGCCGTGGGCTTCCTCTGCTCGAAGAGCTCTGTGGGGAAGGGCTGCAGGCTGGCAGCAGAGGGAGCTCAGTGTGTGGCGTGGGACCTGCTGCAGCCCAGGGGCTGTGGTGCTGCCTCCCCTCTACTCAGTCACCATTAAAGCTCATTAGAAAGACCCCTGCCTGCTGGTCCTGCTTGGGGCTTGTGTGCTATGGGGGGTGCCCATAGCACTGGGGTGTAGCACGGCCTGGGGGTGCAGAGCAGCGCAGGCTCCTTCCCTGCAGCACAGGAGGCATGGAAGAGCTGTTGCTTTCACTCGGCCATTCCCTCAGAGCACTTCCTGCAGTGGCTCCTGGCCTTTTGCTTGGCCCCATCCCCATGTCAGGCTGCTTGGGAACAAGGTGGGGGTTTGGCAGCCCCATGAGGTGGGGAGGTTTGTCTGAGCTCAGGCTCTTGGGGTTTAAGATCCAGTCTCCTCTGGCCTGGCTGGGTCTGAAGAGTTTATACATGAGGAAAAATGCAAGGTCCTATTTCAGGCCAACTTCATGAAAGCCTCAGCAGCCTTTGCTGGTGGGAGTGGGTGGTCTCACCAGGGCTCTTTGCCTGTCAGCCCCACACAGACCCCTGGCAGCACTGCCCCTGGTCTGTGGCTCTTGGGGAGGGGGGCAAGTTGAGTGGATTTGACTGTGGCAGTTCATGCTCAGGGGTAGTGGATGTGTTCCCAGCTCACGTGGCCTTGCTCACGAGTCAGTGGGGCTGACTTGAGGCAGGAGGTGCTGGGGTGGGTCTGAGCCTGGCTGGTGGGAGCAGTGGGTGGGAGGGAGGATGGTGGTGGGTGAGATCATCATGTTCATCCCACTCAAGTCCACTCCAGGGTCAAAGCAGAGGCCAGAGCTACCCTGATCCTGTGTAGCCCCCAGTGCTGGCTGGAGCCTGCAAATTCTTCCTCTGCAGAGGCTCAGCTTGTGCTGTGGGAAGAGCCAGGCACAAGGGCTTTCCAGCTCCCCAAGCTGGGTGCAGGGCCACTTGTCAAAGCAAGTGCTTCGCTGGTCATCGCCCTGCCCAGCGGGGACAGGACAGGGGGCTCTGTCCTCCCACAGTGCCACAAGGGACGTTCCCCCCTACTGTGCACCACCGCTGCAGTGTACCAGGGCTGGGTCTGCTGTAGCACCGAGTTTTGGAGTCACCTAATGCCTGTGCTGGGGCAGGAGAAGACTTTGTGCTCAGCGGCAGGGGAGGATGACCCCTGCAAGATGCAAGCAGACGTGCCCTCCCGTGCAGCAGCACCAAGCAGCCTGGGGCTCTGCGGGCACAGGGTGGAGATGGGTGCAGAGAGAACCCAGTTATTGGGAAGCCGCTGCTCTGTGCAGCCTCGCTCGGGGGTCAGGTGTGCTTGGAGGGGATGTCAGGGCTTTCTGCTCCCTCCTGGTGCCCAGTTGGGCTTTAGCTGCTGAGTGAGCTCTGCTCCCTCCCTGCTGAGCCCCTGGGCTGGGCTCAGCCTCCTTTCCTGGCTCCTGGCTCAGCCTCCTTTCCTGGCTCCTGCCTCATCCTCTCACTGCCCTCCAGCCTCAGCTGAAATAAGAGCAGAGAAGAGTGAGCTGTTGGCTTGGAAATGCTGCTGTGAGCGGAGCCGTCATCCCCCCCGTGAGGGTTAGGAGCCTCTGCGGGAAGGTGAGGCTGGTTTGATCACAGCAGGGAGCTGTGTCGGGGGCGGGGGGGGACTGAAACCCATTGCCTCCCTGACCTGACCTGAAATCGCAGGCAGGTAAGGATGGGCAGCAGTGGGCAGCCGTGCCCGAAGCACAAGGGGGAGCAGATCTGCTAGGCACTGGCAGACAGCGAGCGCAGCTGGGCTTTGGCAGCTGCCAGCAGGCAGGAGGGCGGCAGCCAGCTCCTGGTGCCCACTGCTGCCGTGTGCCGCGTGGGCCAGTGCAGTGGCACGGGCTGCAAGCAGCTCGCTGCGATGTGTGCCAGTGCCATCGCTGCCACCTCCTACACCTTCCCCTTGCCAAAGGCTGAGCTGGAGAGCAGTGAAACTTGCTTGTCCCGGATTCCTGAGCTGAGGAGGCTCTGGAGGAAGCACATCCTTCCTCCTCCTCCTCCTGCCAGGCTGCGTGCAGTGACGGTAGTGTGCTGCTTCCAGGCAGAGCCACATGTTGGGGTATAACATCCTCACCTGGCCCTGCCAGCAGGGAAGGGCTTTGGCAGGAAGGCTGGGGCAGGCAGACCCCCTGCCCGGCCCCCAGCATGTACAGTGGCTCCTACGTGCAGGGAAAACGCTGCTCTGAGCTGCCATACGTGCAATGTTAGCTCGGCAAGGATATACTGCCTGCTGTTACACGCTGTCTGAAAAACACATTTCACTGCTAAACCGTTGCACCGTGGAGTAGAAACCAGAGGTGTGCTGTGAGTGCAGTGACCGACTGGGCCTGGATTCGGGCAGGAGGGGACGGGATGGGAGAGTGGGCACTGTGGTGGGGAAGCACCCCTCTCTGCTCCCCTGTCTGGACCCCGCACCTGCCAGGGCTGGCTCTCGCCAGCTGTCCCCAGGACCAGGCTGTGTTTTCCTTGCAGGCTACCTTGTCGTTTTGTCCCTGGGTGTCCTCAGAGCCACCTCGGTGTGCCTTTCCCATAGCTGTGCCTGGGGCTGGGCAGAGTCCAGCAGCTCCTGCCCTGGTCCCCTCTGCCACGAGTCTGTCTTTATCCTGCGCTTTGGGGAAGCCTTTGCTTCCTCGGGTCCCCCCCACGTGCCAGAAACGAGGCAAGAGGTTAAAATTAGATCCTTTTGTTTCCCAGGGTGGCAACAATGGAAAGGTCCCATCGGTCCCACAGTCACCCTGTGTTTGTGATGGAAAATTCCTCGTTTGGCGGGGCGAGCCCTCCCCAGTGTCCCACCGTTAGATGGCAGCAGGGACAGGCTGGTCCCGGCCTCAACCGCCTGCACGGGGCCACCTTTGGGCTGCAATGGATGGATAATGCCAAAATCCCTTGATTTTTAGGGTGCCAGAGGATCCCTCCCCTACCACAGGTCAGACCCTCTGCTCTCCTTGCACTCGGCCTCTCCGGGCAGCCCTTGGGTCGCACATTTTGTCCAGCATCTCAGTGGTGTGATGTGATTCATCCCTTCGTCACTGCCCACACCTCACCACCTCGCTGCTCATCTCAAGTGCATGATGACCCCTGATGCCCACGGTGGTCCCTGGCGTGGGTACGCTGCCATGGTGGGGAGCCCCATGGCTGCCCTGTCTCTTACTCAACCCTTTGCACTGAGGAGGGGTCTGATCCTCAAATCTCACCTCTTCACCCCACAGCGGAGGGCAGTGCTGCCCCACTGTGCAGTCCCCAGCTCTGCCTCATCACTCTGTCATCACGACAAGTTTTAAAAGTCTCTCTCCAGAAACTTGGAGGATTTTGGGCACCCACATGGGATGGACGGACATCGCTGCTTTCTGCTCCTTGGGGATCAAGAAGGGAGGTGCTCCAAGATGAGTATGCTAAGAGCAATGCAGCTGGTGCTCTCAGGGTTAAAAACTCACTAATCGGGCCAGGGAGAGTCGAGTAAAATAAACTCTGTGGCTGGGAGTCCCTCTGATGGCTCTGGGAGAGGGACAGGGCGATTTCTTCCCCGGATTTGGCAATGAGAGCACTTGAGTGCACAAGTTTTCATGCCTTTTCGAAGCCATGAGCACATGGTTCTCATTCAGGCTTTTTCTTCGCTGTCTGCGAGCGTGCATAATTAATAACCCCCCCGGGAGCAGCGTGGGGCTGTGTTAATTTATCCATTCAGTGCTCACTGGGTGCACGGGCAGCTGGCCGGGGCTGTGCCCGCTGCGCCGCCGCACTCCCGAAGCTCTGCCATCACCTCCGTCTGCAGCGTGTCCGCGGTCAGTTTGCACCGAGCCAGAGCCACTGTCTCTGGCAGCGGTGTGGGGGCAGCACGCATGGAGTGGCACCGTCACCATCCTGCTGCCAACAGTCGTGTGCATGGGTTTGGGGATACACCTGCCAGAGAGGGGTGCGTGTGCCACTGTAACAGTGCTGAGGGGGCAACGTGGCTGCCCCACGCTGCTGGCAGTGTGTACAGAGGGATGGCATGAGTGGGGGTCCCTTGTGCTCCCCTAAATGAGTAGGGATGCAAGTGTGTGCGGTCAGGTGTGAGAAAGTGTGTGTGCATCTTCGTGTGCCCTGGCGGGAGGTGCAGGAGGAGCGGGGGTTCAGGGGGTGTGTGCCTGGGTGGGTGCATACAGGTGTGAGGTGTGGGCTTTGGGGGGTGCGTGCAGGCGTGAAAGTGTTTGTGCAAGCAGGTGTGAGATCCGTATGTTCCCGCGAGGTGTGTGCACGCCGATGTGAGAGGGTCCTTGTGTGCGTTCCATCCGGTCCGAGAAGTCGGGACGTGCACCCAGACGCACACAAGAAGGGGTGTGGGCATTTGCACACAGGCGCGGGGTGATGCGGGTGCACACAGGTGCGGGTGGGATGCACGGGGGGGTGCACGCAGGTGTGCGAGTGCCCGCGGGGACGTGGGGCAGCGGTGATGCGCACCCAGGTGCGGGACACGCACTCACCC